ACTTGTATTGAGCACCTGTACAGATAAAACCAGGAATTAAAGACAAGAGAGCTCATAGTATAATGTCTACAGGTCTCTGGCATGGCAAAAGCAGTGGATCTTGCCCAGCACACTTGTTCCAGTGACTTTTTAAAATTATGAATCTGGATTTCTTAAAACCAGCACTGTTCTTATGTTGATGGACCTAAAAAAACCCCATCCATTCAGAAAAATCTCTTCCAATCAATAACTGACAACTGAGCTGCCTCTCTTAAGTGTATTGCTGACCACAAAAGGATGCATTTAAAGTAAAAGTAATTTGGAAAGGGGAATTTAATATCATCAGCTCATTCTTGAATAGAAACCTCTTTCTCGCCACTCAAAGCCAGGCAGTGCCTGCCAGTCCTCTGAAGCTGTGCTGCATGTTAAAGTGTGAAGTTAGAAACCAAACTCCTTCAGCTGGAATATTACTGAAAGGGAGGTTTTGTGGCTAGCAAATAAAACCTACTTTGGAGACTTGTGGGCCGGGCAATCATTTTTTTGCTGTACCAGAGGGATTGCCTGAAACACCTCATTCTTTGTAGCAGTGTTGGCACTGGATGTTGAGTGAATCTAAGAACTTGGTGATTGAGGGCCCCTCCGAGGGAAGCCGCAGCCACTGAGCGCTCCTCTAAACACAAAGAGCTATTTCAGCAGTGCAAGATGACACGCTTCTTCCTGCCACTGAAAACAGATTTTCACTGCAAAAACTACCTGGGCTTGACATGGTGAAATTGCTTCCTTATGCTCTATGTAGCATAAAAGAAACCCAGCTGAGGTGGGGAGGATGCATCCTAACCCAAGCTATGTGTGGCAAACAGCTAGAGGAGCCCAGAGCTTGGTAGCAGGAAGTGTGTGGGAAAGCCATCTGGTGAAGCCACTCAGAAACAGTGTGAAAGTCTCTTTTCATTCACTTCCTGACAAAGTAGTAATATCTTGCCTCATTATAGGAAGAGGGATGCTTGTTGTTATTTGTGTTAGTAGCTCCTAGAAGTCCAAAGGCAGGGACAGGACTCCTGCTGTGTTAGCTGCTGTGGGCACATGTAAGAGAGACCTTTCTCCATACCCACTCCTCCCAGATTTCATAAGATAAGAGGACAGAAAGCATAGGAATTTTTTTTTTTTTTCCTCCCAAACAGGGGACTGAAACAGATGGGAGAGACTGGAGGAGCTGGAAACAGAACACGTAATAATTCCCAAGCCTTGAATGTCTTGAAAAAACCTGTACTTTGACTCCTATATTTTATCTTTGAGCATTTATGGTGAGTGGTATGTACCTTGGCATACTGCTCGCCATGTGCTCTGCAGTCCTCTTAGGTAAAACCAGCATTTAGCTTGGTGTGGATGTGATGCTGAGAGTTCCTACACACTTTGCTGTGCTAAGGTGGGGGGAGGGAAATCAAATCAACATGCAGAAGGGATTTTAATCATCACTTAGCAAATTAAAAAATCAGATTACTGTGGCAAACTTAAACTTGATCTTTGGCATCTGAATGATGTCTTTTGCTATGAGCTCCCAGTCCAGCCCACCTAATTTCCTTGTGGTTTACTACTACTATAACCCTGGACAGTATCTCTGTGTTGCTAAAAGCAAGGGAACCACACCAATGGCTATATTTCAGGAGAAAGCAAAGTTCCCAACAGCCTATTTACTATTATTAGACATCTAAAGTTCTCCTATATCATCATCTCATCCAAAGACCTCAAATCATTTTATGGACCTTATTTTAGCCTTTTGACAACTCTGAGGCAAGACATCCCCATTTTTAAAGACTGGAACATACTTAGAATCCCCATCCTTGGGATAGTCTTTGCCAGAATTGAGGATGAATTTTTTCAGTCCCATGCTTTAATTGGAAGACAGCTTTCCAGGCCCCTCTGCTATCCTTGCGTGGGTGTGCAGGGCTGCATGCTTGGTTGGTTAGCATTTGTGCCAGGTTTAGATGAAAAAAGTATGTGCTTGGGTTGGCCTTTCATCTCTGGGGAAGGCAGGGTTAGAAAAAATGTCCTGAAATTGAATTAGTTGGTGAAACAATTTCATGGCAGCAGGAAGGAGGAGGGGTAGGATGAAGGAGGTGGTGGATGCTGCTCTGCTTTGCTGCTCTGCTTTGAGGTAAAAGGGGATGAAGCCCAGGAAGGAGCAAGCAGGACCATGTGGGCTGGTAGCTCATGAGGCTGAGGCTGTCGTTTGACTTGCCTAGTGCCAAGGGAATACCTTCCCCAGGAGAGAGATGCTCAAATATTGTGAAATTGGGCCATAAGCTGTTAATTGCTAAAAACTGTAGAAATTCAGAGAGCTGGTAGCTACTAGTGCAGAATGACTCTGCTCAGAGAGCAGCCTGTCTTCTTGCTCTGTAAATGAAGCCTCTAGTAGGATATAGTGTTGGATGGGGCAGAGCTGAGGCTCTGAATAAGGCTTTTGTTGCCTTGTCCTGGAAATCTCATAACCCTTCTCTCCCAGGCAACCCACTCTGACACAAAATGCAGGTGCAAAAGGCAGAACCAGGAATGCGAGGAGGATACGAGCAACACCTCCAAGGTCACAGAAGCTGTATCAGCACTTCTTTGTAGGGCTTTTCCTCTCCCAGTGCTCAGTTCATGATCCCTTGCAAGACTCCAACCCGTGGCAATATGGCTGTAGGCAAGCACAGCCATGCAGCTGTACTTGTCCTCTTGCTGAAAGCCTAGGTAGTAACAAGAGCCAGAACTATGTGGGTGCAGGGTTTAAGCACTACTGCTGCCTCAAGGATTACATGAATTACCTCTTCAGAATAACAGAACAGACAAATAAGACTGTGACTGCACTATGGAGCAGCAAATGTGGAATACTAAGCACACAGTAATCAAATACTAATATAATGCTGAGATATTAAAAAAATATCAACTAAAGCCCCAGGTCAATGACAACAGACCGTTCCCAACTGTTCAATTTGCCCAGGTTCTCATGATTCTAGGAAGACTGTTCACACCTTTGCTATATCCATTGCTATATTTGAGTTACTAGCAAGTTTTGGCCAGGTGACCAACTCAATGAGCACTGAATCATGTCTCAGCAAGTGTAAGGTGTCTCTGCCTTGTCTGTGTTGCAGGACAACAGTCCTCTTTTCCAAGCCAGGAACAGGGTTGGGCTGGAGCAGGGAGGGCAGCACCAAGACTCAGCTTCTTCCCAGGATGTGGCAGTTCTGACATGGGTGGATGAGAGTATTTCTGGCAGCGACAGGGAGTTAAGGGAACAAAAGCAAGGCTTGGACATTGCATGCTGGTAGACCTCCCTTGGTGGTTCCTTTGCACAAGGCTTAGCTGAGCAGCTCTCTGAGCATCTGGGCTGTGAGAGGCTCCTGTAGCACACGTGTCATGTGAGGATAATCCCATGCGGATAAAGCCAAAGGCAAGCTGTCTGCTTTTCCTCTCCCATCTTCTAGTCTTATCTTTCAGTCTGTGGTTACACTGGGACCATAACAAATCTTATCTTCCCCAGCCTGTGATGGGGATTGTGCCTACAACAGAAAACTACTGGGGGCCACCCAATCTGATGAGAGCTGAGTTCTTAGCCCTGGGTAAGAAGCTTGAAACAACACAGGAGCTCTGTGAGGGTTGGATGGGATCTCTCATCCACACTGTATGTGGAATGTGCTCTGTCCAGAGAAGAGGTGAAAGATCTTCACTAGCTCATCTGTTATACTTGAGAGAGAGTGTTTTATACACACAGATAAACTTAGCAGTCTTCCTGAGTTAAGGAAGTTGGGGTGCTGGGTTAGTGTGGGTTTTTTTTGTGTAGGTGTTGTTTGGTTGGTTTTTTTAAGACCATTAAAAGAAGAAATCCACAGACTAATTGGATTTTTTTTAGTGCTTAACAATAAAATCTATAGCAGAATGAGGAACAATTTCCTTAAGTGCCATTACAGAGTGTTATACCCAAGACCTGCTCTTCTCACCTGGATAACTGCATACCCAGACTGAGTGAAGACAAGTGAAGAGACCTGCACACTTGGCCCATTTCAGAGTCCTAGTGTTGTGATTGAGGTTTTGACCTGCCCTTAGGCAATCCCTGCCAACCCCAGAGACTCCCTTCTGACAGAACCTAGTCTGAAGTTTGCTCTTACAACAGTAGATGGGCCTCTTCAGCGTGAACCTGTGGTGTCTGGTTTTGTTCTATGCTGCTTTGGGGATATGCAACCAATAATGAGAAAATGCTTTTGTCTGTCTGGAGCAACTGTGTTCTCAGGCACTAAAATTATGGTTTGTACTAACTGTCCAGTGGGGAGAGAAACCCAAGGTTCTTAATTCTAGAAGACAGGTTAACTTCTGGGGAGGAGGCAGGAACTGTTAAGTTGTTTGCTGTCAGGAAGGAACCCATGCTAGAAGTATTCAGTCAATTAGGCTGATTTGTAGCAGCCCCACTATAAATCCTGTTTCAGAAGGAAGGTAAACTCTGCCAAAACATGCTATTCCAAGGAATTTCAGTAGGTTCTCACATGTCTAACCATGGCAAAATTACCTGCAGGGCTATACCATCTTAAAATGACATGATATGTTCAATTCTACATTATAGCCAATGTATGTTGAAAAAGGGAGGCCAGCAAAAAGCCTCTCACCTCACTGTCACAGATTAGCCTTTTTATTGTGTGCTACATTTGTTCAGCCTATTTGTTAATTAGAAACAGATTTTCTAAACCAGTTTTATATACAAAAACAGCTGGCACACACTTAGGCAGCAAATGACCACTCAGCCCAGCAACACAACTCTCTTGCCAGTGAAATGCAACACTCAAAGGTGTTAAATTCAGTGTAGAGGCAGCATGTTCCATAGGGACACCTGCACCTGACCAGATGCAGAACCATTTATTTTTTGGTTTGTTTTTGTGCCTCAAAGAGGAAGCTTTCCTGCTCATTTGCCTGAAAGGTGGTTTAGAGCAGAGCTGCGAGCCTTCCCCATGAGCAAGGAGGCTGGGTGGCTGCCCTTGCTGTGCCACAGGACTCACCCTGCTGAGCTGGTCCAGGAGTCTTTGGTTCTGCTCGGAGAGTTCCTGGACAGCCCGCGTCTTCTCGCGGTCGGCTTCGCGCAGGTGAACCTGCTGCCTCTCCAGCTCGTCCTGCAGCTGCTTGACATCACTCTCCAGTTCAGACACCCTTCCTTCCCATTCTCCTTCTTTGTTCTCAAATCGCCTCCGTAGTTCGTGCTTCTCTTGTTCTAGGTGCTAGATAACAAGGGGGAGAAGAGGTTAGGAAAGGAGGGCAAAGTGAATGCTGCCTCCTTTTTCTCCTTTCTGCTTAGGGCTGAAATCTTTTGTGCAGGAAAGAGAATGGTACTAGAATGTGACAATGCCATGGAGGCAGCAATCCCATGTCAGGGCCGGTCACTGGCGCTAAATTCGCTTTCCATTTTCAGCAATTGGCCCGTCCTTGGCCTCTGGAAAATCAGCACATTGAATTTTTTCACGAAACAACTGCCAAAAGAGCAAAGCAGACTGCATGTCAATAGGCAGAATATATAGGTCAGGCAGGCCAATTGATTTAGCAAAGCCTAGCTTAAGTCCAAAGCAATATTTCGGTGTGCAGTGGCATAATTCTTTTCAAAGTTGCCTTTATAGTTAAAACTGCACAAACTCTATCCTTGCTGCTGCTGAGGAATCTAGATGAGGCATCTTTCTTGTCATATGGGTCTTATGAACAACAGTTGAATCATCTATCCATTTGCTCCTTCTATTCCTGACCTAATTAGTTGTCTGGTAGTTTGATAGTGCACAGTAACTCCATTGTTTGATGTAGTCTGCTCTGGAATGGCAATGGACGCAATGAAGTAGTTTCTATAGACATCACGTACATGCATGTTCTGGGTTGCTGGTTTTTGAGAAACCACTCTCAGTTCTGGAGACTCTTCTCTACCAAGGACTGGCTGGAAAATGAGGGACAACATGAACCTGGTGGAATTTTTGCATGTTTTCCAGGCTCAATTAAATGAGGGCTTGACTGAAACAGAGCTGCAAATCAGGTCAAAACAGATTTATGTTGTGCTCATTTGAAAGAATCTCCTCTGAAACTCTGAGCTTGAATTTCCCCTGGTGAATGAAGCAAGATGCATACTTGTAGAAGAGTCACAGACTAGGGACATGGGGAGGTCCCAAGATTAGCAGGGAAACCTGAAGATCAGGGCCAGGAGCTCTGTCCTTGTTCTGTCCCCCAGACTAACCTGCTGCTGCTCTGTCAGATTCAGCAGCCTTTCAGGAATGTATCTTAGCAGAGAAAGAAACCTGCTGGGTGCAGCACTGGTAGCACTTGCCCGTTTTTCCCAGGGTATCATCCCCCAGTGAGCAATCCCTGTGGCACTTACAAAAGGAGAGGAAAATAAACCTGCTAGGAGGAAAAGAAAATTGCACTGCATTTATGTGAAGTGGCTTTTTATTGCTTTTTAGAAACACAGGCTGTGAGGTGGCTATTTCCCCTGAGTGCCTGCTGCTGATGACACACATCCTCCCTTGCAGGATCTCTGCCACCTTCCCGAGCAGGTCTGAATGTCAAAGCTCTGCACTTCCCCAGCAGCCCTCTGCCCTGTATTATCACTAATCTTCCACCTCTTGCTCTGCAGAACATGCATGTTTTCTCTTTCTCAAGTCTTATCTCTAAAACCTTTCCTATGCTTCCTCCAGTGCAGTGTAGCAGCACTCTTTGTGTCCTTCCAAATCCTTCCACAAATCCAGGACTTTCTGGAAAACCCTCAAATGCAAGGGAAGGCTGATTAAAAAGAACAGCCCAAAGCAAAAGTATTTCCCTGTGTTTCAGACACAAAAAGAGTAAGTAAGCACCCCTTGCAAATGAGAGCTAAGTATTATTACAATTATTTTTTAATACAATAGGTAGGCATGAGATCCCAGCCCCAGGCCCATGACAACCATTGCAAAGAAATCTTGTTTGTATCCTAAGTGTGGCTGGGGCAGGCACAATTTCACTTCTAGCAGTGCACTGAAATGCTGTCTTTTATAGCTTGGTCTCCTTCACTGCTAGGCAACGTTTAGAAAGATCCAGGGCCTTCTCTGAATGGAAGATGAAACTTCAGCATGCTGAGGAGGAGCAGCACTACAGCTGAAGTTCCCCAGGCATACTCAAATGTGATTTAGAAGCCACAGATAAGCCTTGCCAATAATTTAAAAACCACTTCAGTCCTTCACTGCAAAAGAAAATCCACAGTATGTCCAGCCCCTGTAAATAGCCACCACATAGACTGGAGTTAGAGGGCAGTGGAAATACCAAGTTTATTCTGTTGTGATGGAGAAACTGGAATGGTGCAGCAGGGCACAGGGAGGCTGTTGTGAAGAGGGAGGATAAACCAGACTGGACATGCTGACCAGTTCCTCCTGCCTCTTCTCTCCCAGTAGCTGTCTCCCCTCACCTGCCTTCACCCCAGCACTTGCATGGCTGCAGGTCTGGATGTTTGGGTTTGTTTGGTTTTTTTGCATGTAGTGATGACAGGGCAAACTGCCATTCTCAGTAAGGGAGTTTCTTGTTTTTTGAGTGACTCTTCATCCACCAGCTGCTCAATGATTTTTACAAAGAATTGCTTTCTAGAAGATGTTTTATTCTGAAAACAGCTTCTCTTCAACATAACCAAGCTGGGCTGGTCCTCATTGAAAGAGATGAGAGCAAGGGGGAGTTTCCCAGCTGATAAAAATAGTTCCTACTGTAAAATGCTTAGACACAGCAAGCCTCTCTGTGTCAGAGGGACGGAGGTATTACCTGTTTTAATCCCTTCGAGAGGATAAAACTGACTAGGATCACATATCAGAATCTATTACAGGACTTCAATTCCATGATTAGAAATGAATTTGAATTCAGGCTATGAAGTGAAAGAGTTGCCAGAGTAAGTGTATCATAGGAATGCTGTACTTCAGTAATGAACCCACAAAACTAGAACACATTTAGCCTTTAGGTGAAGCACCAGAGGAGCAGGTCAGCATGTTGGCTGTTGAGAAACAGAAAGGCTTCACTGAGCTCTTGTAATCAACTTTGAACTCTTACTGGGAGAAAACCTCTCTTCCTAAATGTTAAACATCACTTTATCTGGTGCAATTGTCACCAAGGATCTCATCTGAAACTTTGCTTCTGGTCATCATCAGAAAGTTCTCGGCAAGGGGAGGGAGGTAACAGATGGGGGGCCTTGTTCCTCTGAAAATGAAATGCTTATTGTGAAATTTTGTTCACTTCAGTGGCAACAGGAGGAGGCCACCATTTACTCTGCAGAGGTGAGGATTACCAGCCTTGTGCTGTAGAAGATTAATGTTCGAGTTTTTCTTTTTCCTTGTGTGTGTGCGTGTGAAGTAGCACTGTCTTAGATGTGCCCAACCCAGTGGAAAGAATACCTGACCCTTAAGTAGATAACAGTAACTCCTGTTACTGTTAGATGGGTAGCCTACAAAACAGCGGTCTGGTAATCAGCTGGCAGGCTACAGTGATAGTAAGGGGATGAGAGGATGTAAACAATTTTATCGTGCCTTTGTTCACCTTCTGAAGGAGCCCACAAGCGCAGAGGTAAACGTTTAGGGAATGTTCTTTAAAGTACTGTAAAGTCATAGTTTTCCCCTTCTCCTTTTAATCTTTACATTTCACAAACAGCAAGCAGTATCTGAGACTCCTGAACTCCCCAGCAGGCAGCTCAGGGAGTACCTGAACTTGTGCATTTTCCTTTAACGGTAGGAATGGTTCTACTCCAACTCATCAGGAAAACCACGTCAGCACAATACCACATACGTCTGTTCTTGCTTAAAGATCAACCTGAAAACATTCACTCTGGCAAATCTTAATACTCTGGGAAATTGTCATCTGATGAATAGTGCCACTAAACAAGAATCTGAGCAAATGTCACCTTCACTATTGTTTCCATTGGAATAGTAGATGTACAGAGATTTCCCTGCAAAGAGGAAGGGCTCAGCTAGGGTAAAGTGCTAAGTTTATTAACAGAGAGGAATTTTGTCAGGAGAACAAAGGCAGTGCAGGAATTTCACAAATCCACTTGGACTGGAGGGATGTATGTCTGTGAGGAAGGAATACAGGAATAGGCAGGACTGTGCAGGAAAAACTGCTCTAGGGCTGTGGCTTGAAATTTGAATGTTAATCCAGCACTGTTTAAACTCTCTCCAGAAAGGCGAGAGGCTTTTCCTCAGCCTTGTAGGCAGTATTACTTGCTGGGAGAATTAAAATTTCAAGAGTATCTCTGAGAAAAAAAAGTAGGGGTAATAGTAGCTCTCTTACATAGCTGTGGAGGAGAGTTGTTTTAAAAGAAGCTGCCTGCACAAGTCTTTTTCTTTGTAATAGCTCTATTTCATCCTTAAAAATCAATAAATAGCTCAATCCACTGAGTTCCTGGCACACAGCTCTCTCCAGATACCTGTAGGTATTTTTCAGAGCAGCCAGCTAACCGAGACGCACCATTAGGGCTTATCCTCGGCCATGCCTAATGCCTCAGCTCCAACCGCTTGAGCCTAAGGGTTACATACACGCTGTAGCTCGGTACCTGCCGGATAAATTTAACTTCCGAGGCGTTCCTGTGACGAGCCGAGCACCGGGCACGTCTCCTCGCCCAGGTGGCACCTGGCTCCTGGGGCAAAAGGGCCGCCCGGCCCCGGGCGGGTAGGCCAGCTCGCAGCCGGGGGCTGGGGAGGGGAGGAACAGCGGATTTGCCTCCCCCAGGCCTAAGAGGCTTTTCTTAGACTCTTTTTTTTTTTTTCCTTCCCCCCCCGTCGCGGCCGCGAGGAGTTCCGTAGGCTGCCGGGCAGGGCCCCCGCTCGCCGCCCCCGGGACTTGCGGGGACAGGGCCGCGTTCCGCA